ATAAGCAGCCCTTCCTTCTCCCATGATTGTTCTCTCCAGGGCGTGTGTCTACTTGAGGTAAATGTTTAACTCACATGAGGAAGGCTCTTCTTCAGTGGAACTAAAAGCCAGTGGCTAACGTGTGGGAAGGACTCACTGGGTGCAGGGTATGGTGCTAAGTGTTAGTGTGCACTGTTTCCGTTTAACCCTCACTCTTGGGGAAACTGAGCTGTCAGTGTCTTGTGCAGGCTTCACCTGGGCACCAGTGCGTCTGCTACAACCCCGCCCCGCTGCACCCCACTATCTTCCATAGACTTCTCCTCCCAGGAGCTTCACGGCACCCGCAGAGTGGCCCCTAGGTTTGGGAAGGCATATGGCAGGCTCTCTACTTCTTAAGCAGGCCTCACTGTGAAGAAGTAATGGATGGAAGCATGTGGCTTAATGAAGACATCATTTGACACATCTTGTTGGAAAGACGCTTAACCTCTGCTTATCACAGGAACAATGTAAATTGAAATCAAACTCAGATACCATTTTCATCTGTCAGTTTGGCAAAGCTCAAAACCCAGAGATTGGGGAGATGGGTGCTTGCCTCACTGCCAGGGTCAGGGTGGGAAATCGGTACAAGCTCTGAGATGTATTTAGCAGCCTCTGCCCAAATGACAGATGCCTGTACCCTTGGCCAGCTGTTTTCCTGGAGTTGAACCTACGGAAACTCTGCCCACATCCAGAATAACAGACTGCAGCATGGCTGGTGGTAACGGGGATGGAGCGGCCACCTAAATGCCCATTGGGAGGGGACTGGTTGAATAAATTACAGCACATCTATGACAGAATACTGACTATCCTAAAGCAAAGGAGGAGGCAGTCCTCCCTGTACTGAGAGGGCCTGATCTCCAAGATACAGGGTTCGGTGAAAAAAACAAGGGTAAAATCAGTTGTGTATGTAGGTGGGTCTGCCTGGAGGGGAAAGAGACAGTAACCTGCATACAGGCCAATCTCCTTTTATTTGCAGACCTTATCTCCACAGGGACAGATAAGCAGCTTTGTGCTGCTTGCCTCTGGGGAGAGGAATCTTGAACCTATAAACTTACTACATACTTGAAAAAAAGAAGTTAATGATCCTATTTGAAATATATCACTGTATCTGTGTTGTAGTTTATTTTGTGGTTTTACCGAGATTCTAACTTTGTTGTCTACCACTGGACTGTCAAAAACTTTCTTTTGTATTGTTTTTGCCTTGGGAATGTTACGACTTCTAGCGTTTCTGGTGAACCAAGCTGTGAAGTGTACCAGGAGGATAAATTTGGAACAGTGTGAGACAGTCAAAGCCCTTAGAATGGCTTCTTACAGCCGTCCTGAAATTTTGAGGGTAAGAATTATTTTGAACTGGTTCTTTCGGCATGATTTCTATTTTGTGCTCTTAAAATGGGTCAAATATAGAATAATTTCAATAGATAATTGACTCTCAAGTTTAACCGTCTCCATTTCTTAGGTATCAGTAGTTATTGACTTTACCATTGAAATTAGTTTTCTTTTTACATAATTAGTGCATATTTGGCTTTCATTCATTTTGATGTTTTTCTGTTTTCTGTCATTAAAAAATTTTAACAAATAACCAAAAGCTTACGGAAATAGGAGCTCTGGTAGCAAAGTGCTTAAAGCACTTGACTGCTAACCAGAAGGCTGGCGGTTCAAACCCACCAGCCACTCCTCAGAAGGAAGGTTGGGCAATCTACTTCTGTAGTGATACCACCTTGGAAACCCAAGGAGGGTTCGCTATGAGTCCAACTCGACGGAACATAACAACAACAACAACATGACAAAAATAATCACATTGACACCAAAAAGATCCCTCTCACAAGGAGACAGGAACAACGCACTCTCTTGTTGGGAGATGAAATAGGCAGCCTGGGGAGGACAGTGGGTTGTGGAGGAGGGAGTCGAGGGGCTGTCGGCTTTCTCTGCTTGTGGTGGCTTGATTCTGAACGGAAAAAATGCATCAGGCCCCTGGCCCACTTTGGAGTTGGGCAAGGGGAGAGGAAATTTTTCTGTAGTTAAAAACCATGATTACTGTGAAGGGCCCCTCCCTTCCTGGTTTCCTTTTTTTTTGTGGGGGTGGTAGAGGTGCACTGTGGCACCATTATTCATGGGGCTGCAGTTTTCAGAATCAAGTGTCCCCTCCCCCCGCCCCTCTGTCTTCCTGGAAGTCAGCCATCCAGCGCTGTTCATTTTTCTGGCCTGGCTGAGGTCTCACAGTTGCCCTGGAAGTGGTCCCTCAGGCGTCCAGGCACTTCTTCCTCAGCACAGGCCCTCCCAAACACGTCTACTCATCCTCCCCAAAGCTCCAGATGGCCCACTAGGGTGTCCTGCCATTTGAGAAGGGAAGTTGGAGAAGGTGGGGGGACAGTAGAGGGAGGTGGAGCCCTTCAAAAGAGAGCTCAGGCTGCAGACCCACCGTCTGAAAAAATAACAACGCTTGTCTTTGTTGTACTTAAAATTTGTGGTGGTTTCTTTTTGTCTAGGTGCCCAATTCAGGAACAAAGGTAAGAGTATTTCTTAACGGGAAATAAGATGGTTTATGATACACTCTTCTTTCTGACCTTTTGAAATGAATACATTTATGATTAGACGGGGACCTTATGGCCAGTAACAAAACATTTGCCAAAAACTAAGCTAAGGTGAAATAAGGAAATTTCTCTGTGTTCAGCCCTCTGTAAATGCACGTCAGAGTTTCACGGTCTCTCAGTTTTTGTAGTTTGGTACTTTTTCGTGTTTGGATGGCGTAACTGTTTGGCTGACATCAGGTATGACTGGCACCATCTCTTGGTGTCATCTTGGTGTTTGCCAGGGAAGCTGGGTAGCGCCCAGGAAGCTGTTGGTGGGGTGTAGAGATGGAGACGTTTACTCGGGACGTACACACGGAGGCGCACACTAGATGTGCACTCCCCACACAGCCTTCAGGGATGGATCTGTCGGAGGGTCTGGTCCAAGTGTGTTGCCCCCACCAAGGGGTGTGTCAGGCTGTGGTCGGGGGGCTGGGCTCTGGTTGTGGCTGTGCCAGCTCACTTTTCCCAGGTCTGTGTCCCATTCCTGTGAGAATACAGTCCCCAAGGAGGTCCTAGGCCTAAGAGCTGAAATTTAGAGCAAACACAGGATTTTCACAAAGGCCCAGCTATCTTCAGAGGTTCAAGTCATTTAAAGGATTACTCTGCAGGCACAAACCATAAATGAAAATCGTCATTTAGCAGCATAGGGCTAACCAGGGCTTCCTAACTGTGTTTAAATGCTTTGCCTGGTCATGTGTTCTCTTGCCCATAGCCGCACCACCGAGAGCACCGTGTGTTTGTGCGTGTGTGCGTGTGCACACATGCAGGTATGTGCAGAAGCAGTGTGTAAATTGGCTCTAGTGTATATTCATTGGGGGTGTAGGGGTGTGCATCCTGGGGCTGTTTGTACAATGTGCATGTATGTATGGAGTGAGTGGACTTGTCAGTAGGAGTTATATTTTAGAGCTGGGAGTATATATATATATATATATATATATATAAAAGCTCTGGTAGCATAGTGGCTAAGGCACTTGACTGCTAACCAAAAGGCTGGTGGTTCAAACCCACCAGCCACTCCTTGGAAGGAAGATGGGGCAATCTACTTACGTAGTGATACTGCCTCGGAAACCCAAGGAGGGGAAGGAAGATGGGGCAATCTACTTACGTAGTGATACTGCCTCGGAAACCCAAGGAGGGGTCGCTATGAGTCGGGGCTGACTTGACGGCAAATAACAACAAAAACAACATACACACACACACACACACACATACATACACATGCGTGTTTGATGGGGTTTTATGTGTGGGTAACTTTTTAAATATAATTCACATACCATAAATTTCACCATTTTAAAGTGTACAGTTCAGTGGATTTCAGTACCTTCACGATGTTGTGCCACCATCACACTAATTCCAGAGCATTTTCATCACCCTAAAAGCCAGTGCCCATTAGTACTCATTCCCTATTTCCCCCTCCCCCAGCCCCTGGCAACCACTAATCTACTTTCTATCTCTATGGATTTGCCTACTCTGGACATCTCCTATAAATGGAATCATACAATACATGACTTTTTGTGACTGGCTTCTTTCACTTGGCCTTATGTTTTCTAGGGTCATCCATGTTGTAGCGTTTATCATTACTTCATTCCTCTTTATGGCTGTATAATACTCCATTTTATGAATAGACCATACTTTATCTCTTCATCAGTTGATGGACATTTGGGTTGTTTCCACTCTTTGGCTTTCGTGAATGGTACTGTGAACTTCAGTGCACATGTTTTTGTGTGAATATATATTTCAGAGATGATCTGTTTGAAATTTGGGGTATATTGTTCCGAAGAACTTTGTGTAAGTATGTATGTATATATTTCCACGTTATGTGTCTTTGCAAATGTGGAACCATTGGATGCGTATTGATGTGCAGCATGCTTTTTCCCACTTGAGTCTTTCATCATTTTGACCCATTCAGCTCTCTTGTAGAGTCTTTCATAATCCAGGTGTTCTTCACTTTGCAGGTCCCTGTCACTGTTCAGTCCATTGTTATTCAGTCTCTGAACCAGACGTGGACCCGACTGGAAGACACTCGTGTTGATCTGGAGCCTGCGCTTGTTAGTGCTGGGAATCTTAAGGTCTGCACTAACGTTGTTCTTGAGGTAGGCACCTGGCTGGGCTTTGAAAGTGTGATCTGCTAGAGGCCCCTCAAGCTGTGTCCCAAAAGGGTAACAGGACATCTTTTGAAGGGGGCTCTGGCCCATCCTGTGGAGTCACCTTTCCTGACTTTCACCTCCGGCTGGCCTTTATGCTATCTGGTCACTGGTCTCTGGAATATGTGTGATTTTCCCCTATAAACCTGGTAACTTGTGAGAATATGTCAGAACGTTGTTTTTGTTTTAACACATTCCTCTGCAGATACAAGCTAATCATATTTTGCTTGGGTCAGCGGGTTTGGACCTTATAAAATTGGGTATCAGAGGCCCAAATGCCCCGGCCAGTCAGCTGGGACAATGCCAAGATGTTAACACTTCTTGATCCCACTGGACAAGAGAGAAAACTTGAATATGTGGAGAGACAGGAAAGGATTTGTCTACCAAGTGCATTTTATTTGTGATGTTAATACAGCTACTGAAGTGGAATGGAAGTTGGTGTTTTGGAAGTGTCGTTTTGTTTTTAGGTCAAGTACAGCCTCACGTACACAGACGCAGGTGAAGTGACAAAAGCTGGGCTCTCGCTGCTTCTGGGGACAGTTGGCAGTGGAGTTCTCTCAATCCAGCAGAAGTTTGAAATTCATTTTTTTCAGGTAAGTTTGGTCAATTTTGTAAGAATATTTCATTCTGAAGTTAAGAAATGTTAACTTCTTAGTGAAAAAAGTCTCAATTTACGAGTCTTACTGCACCTTCCTGTCACTGGGCGGGGGGGGGTGGAGGCTGTGAGTCTGAGGTGGAACGAGGCAGAGGCCTTGCCTTTCCACGTTTGGGAATGATGCTCCCACCCGTGGCAGCGTGACTTTTACGGCACGATGAACTCCCACGGCCTGGAGATGTATTTATAGCTCTTGAGTGGGGGGAGAAATTCTTTTACTGGTTGTAATTCCAGATTTTATTCTGAAAAGCGTTTCATTTTACCCTGCCATTTCCTTATTAAAATGAAAATCGTTTGGGGGCATTTCTGCCTTGTCTTTCAGCAAAACACAAAGCCAGTTCCTCTCAGTGGAAACCCTGGTTATGTTGTGGGGCTCCCGTTAGTGGCTGGATTTCAGCCCCAGAAGGGGTATCCTTTTTGATTCTGTGGAGAATTCTGGTTGACCTCCCCGTCCACACGTGTGGGCCCCACTTCTCTTTATGGCTAAGGATCCTGTGGGCTGCTTGCGGGATGGGGGGACCCAGTCTGAGCCAGGGCTTCCTCTGGGAGCTTGGGGTGTGGTGGTGGGTGGTTGACTGCACATCAGGTGGAACTGAGAGGGGACTGAGTTTAAGGGTGAAAGAACATGTCGTTGGAAATGTCAGTGTTTTAAAATGAAAGTCTTAAGACAGAAAAGTTGACAGACCCCTGGATATATTTAATTTCACACGTAAACAGAGACTCACAAACAAATACAGTGATTTTTGAAAATGTGGAATTGATTTTGAAAGGCCGGTTTCTGAGGATGTTTTTTCTGAGGATCTACTGAAAAAAGGAAGTAGTGGTAACTTTGTCTTTTCCTCTCCTGGGCCATAACCGTAAAAATCCCAGAGGCCTAGAGGAGGGACATCTGGTCTCACTCATGTCTCTTGTCACATAAGTGGTCCCGTCTTTTTACCTGAGAATTAGGCTGCTCTGATGCTAGGCGATTGTCCCTTAACTTCCTGTGAATGTCTGGGATTATTCAGACAACAAATCGATATGGACAACTTACTATTCTTCGTAGCACCACTGAGCAAGACTGTTTAGCAGTAGAGGGGGTCCGGACCCCGGTATTATTTGGTTACAACATGCAGTCCGGCTGTAAACTGCGGTAAGAGAGCAACTTGTTTCTGTTTGAACTTGTGTTGATCTGAAAATGAAACATTCCCACCCATCCTGTCTTGTGAAAGCGTTGCATAGGCTGACGAGCCCAGATGAAAGCCAGAACAGTTTATCGTCACCACGGAGAAGGAGAAATCGTAGAATAGTAGTAACACCGTACAGCGATGTAGCTTTTCATTTTCTAATTTAACTCTCCTAACAATAATCCATTCGTCAGTATTCCACGGAAAATTACTACAATCATTTTTCTTATCCCTTGAATCAAATATGGCAGAATAGAAAAACTGCAATAGTTTGTATGTTTCATTTTTAAGGCACCATTGCCCTAGGGGATGGCCTCAGGGCCTCACGCAGTCAGCTGCCACACCCAAGGCTGGTGGTTCAAACCCACCAGCCGCTCCCTGCCCAGTAGTCCTGGTAGCGTAGTGCCTAAGGCACTTGACTGCTAACCAGAAGGCTGGTGGTTCAAACCCACCAGCCACTCCTCAGAAGGAAGATGGGGCAATCTACTTCCGTAGTGATACTGCTTCGGCAACCCAAGGAGGGGTCGCTATGAGTTGGGTCTGACTCAACGGCACATAACAACAACAACAACATAGCATTTGAGTTCACAGCAAAAATACCTTCCCTGCAAGTCCTTCCTGTGTTTATGAACTTTAATACACACAGCACTGAGAGAAGCCACATGTCACCTTTGTGCTTATTTTATCTTCTTCTTCTTCTCAAATGTGCGTTATGTCAAAAAGCAAATAGCTCTACATGGCTTGTTACGAAACACTGGGTTCCGCTCTCATTCTGCCCGTCCCAGAGGCAACCACTTTCAACTCCTGAACTGATTTTTTATGGATCTGCCCGCCAGTCCTTCAGTAATCTTCATATAATGCTACTTCATGGGTTTTTGTTTATGTGACTTGTCTGTTGACTCCCAGTATGGAAGATGAAGTTAAGGCCTTTCCTCTCTTCATCCTCTATTCCTGTCCCATACACTGCCCACCCTGTGTCTCCCCAGTATAGTTTTATATTACTGTTTTGGTTAGAGCAGTATTCATTGTTCACATGATTAGTTCTTATTTCTCCAAACCAACATTTCTCAACACAAATGCTATGATATACAGCCCCATAGGATTTCAGGAGAGGTAGGTCTATGCAGAATGTTTGGGATGCACCAAATTCAAGGAGAAACATGAATCCTTACTGCAGTTCTTCTCAGAGCCTTTAATACGTGCAAGAGGGAACTGGGGTATGAAACATTTCCCTGACTTTGACCATGGAACCCTTGCATAGAGCCTCTCAGTGGAAGACAGTGTGGAAACATTGTTTTGACCTCATCTCCCTGGCCAACTACCAAGATTCCACAAAGTTAGAGACACCACAGCTTCTGTCCAATAACCCCCATCTCTGGGAGTGAGAAAATGAAACTGGCGGGAATTGCATGTCATTGAGCTTTAAAAACTGCTCATTTGTCGACCTCTTCTTCTTCCCCAAGACTGACCAGAGCTGTCCCATGTCAGCTTGCCGTGCAGAAGGTGAAGAGCTTGCTCAAGGGCCAGGGCTTCCCAGATTATGTGGCTCCTTTTGGAAATTCCCGGGCCCACGATGTGCTGGACTGGGTGCCTGTCTGCTTCCTCACACAGTCATCCAACGTGAAGGTAAAGGGGCAGTGGAAGCCCCGTGCTGCCATCCCTCCCACTTCCAGAAGCTCCTCCTCTTTTGGGGTGGGAGATTAGAGGCAGCTGGGGAAACCTGTGACTGTTGCTGGTGATGACCTTGGATGGCGCGGGGTTGGAGCTTGGACTTGGTTGTCAGATTGGCCTGGATATCGAATACTGATTTTAGCAATATTGCCTTTGTTTCTTCATCTTTGAATTGGGAATGATAGGCATAGAACTAATTTCATGAACTTGTTGAGAGGGTTAAGTGAAGTACCATTGGTTTGGCCCTTGGTATGGTGCCTGGTGGTCCCTCCGTAAATGGGGACTGCTGCTGTCCTCTTAACCACCATTGGTGCTGGTGGTGTTACAGGAACCCTTCTTTAGCCCTCCCTTGAGAATACAGACAGACATGCAGCCCTGCTCAAAAAGATGGCGTCCTCTCCTCCACACAGCTGCCCCGTCCGTCCTTCCCTGTTCTAGCAAGGCGCCCACCTGTGCAGGCTTTCAATTCAGAAGGTCCTAGAAGAGTTTCATGGAAGTTGACATCCTACAAATAGGTTCCTGTTCCCACGATGCTTCTGCCCACCTCTCTTTTGTCTTAGCAGCGTGTGGGCCGGCCCCCGTCAGTGCTTTAATCGCCCAGCTTTTGCTCCACATAGTTCCTCAGGCTTCTCATTATCCGCTTAGCATATTTATAGCTCGGGGATAACGGGGTGAGGATGAGCTCAGGGCTTGCTCTGCCCTCCCCACCAAGTCCCCAGCAGAGACCCGTGATTACTCAGGCCCTGCTGTTCAGCTGCTAAGCCTTGGCTCACCTCTGCCACGTCGGTGAACCAGAAAAATTGTGTCAGCTCCTTGGAGATGGGGTAAAAACATCCAGTTATTACCTCCCCCTCAGAAAGAAAATGCAGTTGGGAGGCGAGACAGCCCAGGGCATTAATGCTGCCAGCAGCCTGGTCCAAGGAGCTCGGAGGGCCTGGAGCTGGTTTTGTAGCAGCCTTCCAGGAAACCCAGGGAGAAGCAGGCATGAGAACAGTTGCTAAATGCCAGTGATAGCAGCTGCCTGTTGCAACCTCTCCTGACAACAGGATATTCTCAAGAGTTTATCAGCCTGGCATTTCTTAAAAGGCAGTTCCACATCAAAAAGACCAACAGTCCATTTCAAAAATGGGCAAAGGAACAGACAGCTTCTAATACCAAAGATATTCGGGCAGCCAAAAATACATGCAGAAATGCTCGTGATCGTTAGCCATTAGAGAGATGCAAATCAAAACAATGAGATACGGTCTTATCCCAGCAGTAATAGCAGAGTTCAAGACAGAAAAAAAGAAATGCTAGTGAGGGTGTGGAGCAATTGGAACTCTCATACATTGCTGCTTGGACTGTAAAATGATAAAACCACTGTGTAAAATGGTATGGCACTTCCTTAAAAAGTTGGAAATAAAATACCGTTTGATCCAGCAATTCTACTAGTAGGAATATGTCCTAAAGAGGTAAGATCCAGGACTGGATAGATACACACACCCCCATGTTCACTGCAGCACTGTTTACAGTAGCAAAGAGACGGAAACAACCTACGTGCTCATCAGCAGATGAATGGATAACAAACTATGGTATGTACACACACACAGTGCAGTACTATGCCACATTAAAGAATAGTGAAGAATCAGCGAATCACCTCTTAACGTGGATCAACTTGGAGGACATTATGCTGAGTGAAGTAACTTAGTCAGAGAAGGACAAATATTGTATGAGTCCGTTTATTATAAAAAGGCAAGGTTTATACAATGAAGGAAATGTTCTTTCCATATATGGATAGTTGAGACAGTGGTGATATGGGTGAAGGAAAAGCAGTATTACAAAATTACTACATATGTATTTGTATGTGCTGTAAAAATATCCATACACAGTATAAAGGTAATGGGGCAAAGTTAGGATAACTTCTTAGCCACAACTAAGCAACTTGAAGAAGTGCATCACGGGGCCAGTGGGCTGGGGACCATGGTCACAGGGGACGTCAAACTCACTTTTCACAATACATTAACACAAAAGTACTATTCTACATCTTACTTTGGTGAGTAGCAACTGGAGTCTAAAAAGCTTGCAAGCAGCTATCTATGATGCATCTGTTTGTTTCTCCTTGTCTGGAGCAAAGAAGAGTGAAGAAAATCAAAGATGCATGGAACCAGTTTGTCCAGAGGACTGATGGACCATGAGGACCTTAGCCTACACAACTCTGAGACCAGAAGAACTAGTTGGTGCCTGACTACCAACACCAACCACTCAGAAAGGGATCATATTGGAGATCCTGGATAAGAGTGGGGAAAAAAATACATAACAATATGTAAAAGAACAAATAAAAAAAACCAGGTTTCCTGGTCAGAGACTGTTTGAACCCAAGGCTATGGATGTGAGTTACGCTGTGGGCCTGGAATTGAAGTCACTCCTGTGGCTTAACTTTCAGCCAAACAATAGACAGATTTACTCGTGGAACATAACAACAACTAGCGAACAACTATACCAGGGAGATGCACTCCTTAGAACAATCAACCATGGGAGCCAATCTTTGCACAGGGAGAAAGGTAGGGAGGCAGGAATGCATGGGCAAGGTCACAGGGAATGTGTCACAAAACGAAACGTGTATGAACTCTTAAATGTAAAACTAATCTGCTTTATAAAATTTTGCCCAAATCACAATAAAAAGTTTTTATTTATTTTTTTTTTAATTTTAAAAAAGGCACTTCCAAGCTAAGGAATTCCACCAGTGGCTTTTTGGCAGGTTATCAAATTCAGCGGGCCTGATGGTTTTTCATGCCCTAAAGAGGTGTACTTTTAAGAGCTTCTGTTGTGGAAAACTGTCAAACATGCATGAAAGTAGAACAATCCACTGTCCCCATCTACCCATCATGCAGCTTCAGCAGTTCCATCTGCCAACTGAAAAGCCATGAAAGGCAGAACAAAGGCCCACTCCCCATTTTCCCTTGGGGGTACCAAAGAGAGGCCTCAGGCCTGGCTCCTGCAACCTCAGACTTGACGTGGGCAGCGAGGCTGTCACCCAGCTGCTCTCGGCTCAGACATTGTGGTGGCTGGTAGGTGTCAAGTCAGCTCCAACTCATAGCAACCTTACATGTAACAGAATGAAACGTTGCACCATATTCATGGTCCAGATGAAGACTACTAAGATCACTGACAACACACATACGCTTCCTGTAATGTAACATCTTCATTGCCAGCTGATGGAATTACATCACTGAGAAGAAAGCACTTCAGTGGCCTCTCTGTGCACTTCAACATGATGAGCGATCAGGTGTAATTTCTGTGAATAAAGCCATCCCCTCTCTCTTCGATGCTAGTTCCACTTCTGACTTATCTCTGCAGTAGATGAAACCTGGTAGGATTTTTCCATTTTGAAGTTCGATCAGTTAAGGCCCTGAAGGTTCCACAGTTGAGTACTGGGAGTATCAAAACTCCCTGGTGATGATGGCTTCATTAGCAACAAGAGGATTTTAAAGCTCTGCTTTAGGTTTCAAAATACTTTTGGAGCACTGAGTACTTTATGGGCTTTCTTAAGCTGTTTTTATCTGAACTTCCAAGTCTATTCATTCTCTTGTTGAGAACATTTTGTAATATGTGAGACATTTTATAATTAAAACTCGGAACTGCAGGTTAAGTTTGACTTGAAGTTGGATCGTGTTCAGATTGACTAATGTCAGTTTGTTTTGCAGGATTCGTGCCAGGTCCCAGTGGCTTTGGTTATAGAAGTGAAGTGGACTAAATATGGATCCTTGGTGAACCCACAGGCCAAAATCGTGAATGTGACTGCAAACCTCATTTCATCCTCATTTCCTGAGGTAGGCCTAACTTTAGTTTAAAAATACAGATTTTGACACAGGTCAAACCAAAACTCATGTTTTAATAGGTAGAATTTATTACTTTGTGAAAAAGATTATTACTAAAATTTAAGCAATCTGCATTCTTAAACAATCGAGTAATTATTCTTTATATCCTACTTAGCGTAAAAATAAAACCTCCACTAACATTGATTTTAGTCATATTAACATTCTTGCTTAGATTTTCATCTTCAAAATTCATATGAAAATTGAGTTTTGATTGATATTGACAACTTGGGTAGAAACTGTATCTGTCATCCAAGTTAATGGCTGGTTAACCCTCCACATACCTACCAGGTTGGTGGGCTGACAGTGGCCTGAGCTGGAAGGAGAGCGAACAACCTCAACATCTCTGTTATCCTGGGGACAAGGGTGGGGCTCGTTTCACTCTTATTTTGATTACAGGCCGACTCAGGAAATGAAAGGACGATTCTTATTTCCACTGCGGTTACTTTTGTGGATGTGTCTGCACCTGCAGAGGCGGGTTTCAGAGCGCGGCCAACCATCAACGCCAGGCTGCCCTTCAATTTCTTCTTCCCGTTTGTTTGACGTAAGATGTTAACTGAGGACGTAAGATGTTAACTGAGGACGTAAGATGTTAACTAAGGACTGTGCATGCCACAGCTGGAGAACTGTACCTTCGGAGCAGTGGGCTCGTGGGCCAGAGGGCCCTCTTAGACACCCCATTTTGTTACCTTTGTCCTAACTCTCGAGGCTGCCCACACCAACATGACCTTCTCTACTCTCTGCCCTCCTGACTTCTGGGGGCGCTGGGGAATTTTTTCTACTTGGTTTGAATGGAGAACTGGGAAGACATCTGGTCTTGGTCACTGTTAACATTCTCAACACATAGGTCGAATATGGAAACCCGACTGCCTTGGGGAGGCAGTAGGAAGAGCAGACCTCAGGGTAGCAAGCACAGGTGTCCAGGCCTCTGTGTCAGCTTACTCATCCCACCACCTGAGTGAGTTATTTTAAAATGTTAAGTTGTTTTCAGCTCTGGCTTTTTTTTTTTTTTTTTTCCTTTTCAGGTCTCCTTGAAATGAGTATAAAAATAGCAAACTCTTGCCCAAAATGGTGCAGATAGAGCACAAAGCCTCACGAGGGGCTCTTTCCCCCAGTGCCATGTTAATTACAGCATAGGCTTGGCTCTAATTGCCACTGCTGAGCCAGCCTCAGGCGCTGGCTGCTGGGCTGCGTGGACGCCACACAGCGCTTCCCAGCAGTGGAAGCTGGAAAGAATACAGGAGGAGGGCCCGAGAGAAGGAGAGAGTTTCTTTTATACATTAATTGTACAGTAATTGGAAAAAGCGTTGTCAAGTGGTAGCATGAAGTGGCGCCAGCTAGAAGCTGGTGATGCAGCTGTATGGTGTAGAGGGGGCCTGGGGGCCCCGGAGCAACCTCCGGGGGGCGGGGGAGAAGGAATCAGCAAGAGGAGCTATTCAGAACAGCTTAAAGTGAAAAAGGACTTTCCTAGAACAGGTTGGCAGCTGAGGTAGCTGCTTTCTCTTTTGTTTGTTTTTCAGAATGCTCATGTGAGAGGATATGCTGGCTCTCAATGTACATGTGAACTTTTAAAAACGCCACTTGATGAGATTAAATTTTACATACAGCTAGTGAGTGCCTGCTTTGTTGTTCGTCTTCATACAACAGTAAAGTGTTCACTGTGAGAAAACAGTTCCTGATACATTATTATCCAGTGAGGGGTAGGACCGGGATGGGACACTCTTGGCCGCACCAAGGGAGACATACAGCCTGCAGAGAAAGTGCCCACACCGAATCAGAGCTGGATGGAAGGGAGTCAGAAGCGTAGGAGCAAACCTCTCTCCAAATGGCCCAGGAAAGGCTGTTGTCCTTCTCAGTCAAGGCCCAGCTCAGGCCGGGGGGCAGGTTCTTTAACTTGGAGCGGGCACGTGTCTAGTTCACCTCACCAAGGAGTCCATGTTGTCTCAACAGCTTGTTAAGTCTTTCAATTTCTTGTTCCTGTTAGTGTAAAAGGAGACAAACATCCGAGTTTACCTTCCTTTCCAAGCCTCACCAAGATGTCACAGTCATTCACTGAGCACAGGTACAAGGGCACAAAAGTGAACGAAAGACAGCAGAATGCCATCTGCTGAAGGACGCTGCTGCAGTGAGATACGGTCGGTGCAGGGAGCAGTGACAAGGGACGCCCACCGCGGGGCCCCTGGCCTAGCTCTGGGCAGTGGGGATGCCTTCCAGGAGGAGGGGATGCCTCTGCCTGGTAAGAAAGGGCCAGGGAGCCACAGCAAAGGGCAGGGTGCCCAGGTTCAAGACCCAGAGGAGCAGAGGCAGGGCAGGGATGGCGAACAATGACATTTCTCAGAGGCGTCCTCTTACCTTCTCAGAGCAGCTGAATTCGAGGTGCTGGATCTTGGCAGCCAGTTGTATATTTATCTGTTTCAACCTTAAGAGTTGCCGTTCTGAGCGTGTCTTAACTGAGATAATTATCCCTGGAAAAATAATGGAGGGTCTTAGTGTCACTGGTTTCTAATTTCACACTTAAAAGATTCACATTTCTGTATTCTTTGCAGATAGATACTATAGATGTATCTAGAAGGGTGGTGACAGACAAGTCAAGCTCTTAGTCATTACTTAAAAGGCATCACAACCAGGAGAGCCAGGTTCTTCTGAGCCACTCAGAACCCAACTGGGAAATACTCTTTTCAGCTGACAGAAGTTGAGACAGCCTTCAAAATAATCACCCACAGGGTGCGGTGTCACGCTCCTTAATACAGAACTTACCAAGACAGTATCATCATCTCACAGCAGTGCGCACAAAGGCCATGAGGCCAAGGTGGAAACAGCCTCTGGTAGGGTCACCACTCCCCCAACCTACTGTCTCCACAGCTGTGGCCAGTTTAGTTGTCAGGTGATAACTGACATCTTGGCTGACAGACAGGTCATAAGCCTCATCTGCTGTCTCCCGGATGACCACGCAGTAGAGAACACTGCCTTCAAAAGACTGTGCCTTTGACCTATAACCTGGGATGTGTCATCCTTTTCCAAGTGAAGGTGCTCCTGCCTTAGCCTGCCACTGCAAGGGTGGTGCCTGTGAGGCGTGGGGTCAGCACCCTGGCTCCCTCGGTTGGTCCACTAAGTCTGACATAGCCTTGTGCTGCTTTCCCAGAGCTTTCAGCAACCCGACATGGACATCGGCCAGCCTTCTATGTCTGCTAACATGCAGACAACATGACCAAATCTGTGACTTCCAGTTTCATCTGCAAAACCAGTCTCTCAGTGGTGTAACAGTGTGATCAGAGAGTAAGGGGCAGTAAACCAATCAACTGCAGTCAGTAGTGCTTTCTCTCCCTCAACTGTGCGTAATCTTTGCAGAGTATTGTTCTGTCTCATTAATGAGATAACCAGTCAGCACAAGCATGTTCAGTAGCAACTGAAAACTTCCCTTCTTTACTCCACCAGGGTCCAAATGACTTAATGGGCTTTATTTTAGTCAGTAGACCTGGACTTGCTGGTGATTGACCCTTTTAAGAGCCCTTCCCATGGCCCCACAACCAGCACAGATGCCCTTTGCCTGTGGGCAGTGCTAGAGCCACATGGGTTCAGCAGGAGAGGCTATGGTTGCACATACCAGGCCTCCAAGGGAGGAGTGCGATGTCAGAGGAGCAGCCTGTCCCAACCCAGCCACAGTCGATCACGCATTCTGACAGTGATCCACAACACCCAGTATAGGGACTCCCAACCCTGGCCGGACACCAAGTCACTCTCCATGTTACAAATGAGAGCTTCAGTGGTGAATGTGGTACAGAAGGGCTATGGACAGCATTTGGGGGGCTCGGAACAGTTAGGTGGCCATCATTGTCAATGTAAACGCAAAGCAGAGACATGATTTCTTAGAAACCAAGGGGCTCCCTAGACCAATGGAAAGAAGCCCTGGTAGCAGAGCAGTTAAGTGCTTGGCTGCTAACCAAAAGGTCAGCAGTTTGAACCCACCAACAGCTCCATGGGAGAAAGATGAGGCAGTCTGTTTCCATAAAGATGACAGCCTTGGGAACTCTATGGAGCAGTCTTCTCTGTCCTTTAGGGATGCTGTCAGTCAGAATCGACTGCAAGGCAGTAGTTAATACTTGGTTAGACCAACAGAGGAACAGGAATTTTATTGGAAATAATTTCCATAAGTGTGTTTTCCAGAACCACAGTTCTGTGGCAAGCCAACAGGGCTTATTTCTCCCAAGAAAGTGTTCCATGTTTAATCTGGAGAGCAAAAGTTCCAAGAGCCTTTGGGACCATGGTGCAGGGGACATCAAGGTCAACTGGCATAACAAACTACACAAAAACATTGTTCTATATCCTACTTTGGTGAGCTGTGACTGGGGTCTTAAAAGCTTGCAAGCAGCCATCTAGGTGCAATGATGGGTCTCTCCTTGTCCAGAGCAAAGAAGAATGAAGAAAACCAAAAACACATGGAAACAATTAGTCCAAGGGAGTAGTAGACCATCCACTCCTCAGCCTATATGACCATGAGACTAGAAGAACTAGATGGTGCCTGCTACCACTGTCAGCCACTGGGAAAGGGATCAATACAGGAGATCCTAGATAGAGTGGGGGAATGGTATGCAACAAAACTCAAAATCATAAAGACAAGGTTTACTGGCTTGATAGAGCCTGGAGAGACCCTTGAGACTATGGTCCTTAGTTACCCTTCAGGTCTGGAATTGAACTTACTCCCATGGCTTCCAGCCAAACAACAGACAGGCATATTGAGTGAACATTTCATCAGGTAGATACACTCCACAGAGTGATCAGTTGTGGGGCAACAGAGGGCAGTGTTTGCACAGGCAGCTAGTTCAGGGGGGTAGGAAGGTATAGGAAAGGAGGACACAGAGATACCTACAGGGAGGAAGTGGGAAGAGAGCTGTTACATTGTGGGCAATTGCAGTCAATGAATGATGGCATAGTGCCTAAGGCATCTAACTGCTAATCAGAAGGCTGGCAGTTCAAACCCACCAGCCACTCTTCGGAAGGCTGGGTAATCTACTTCCATAGAGATACCGCCTCGGAAACCCAAGGAGGGGTCACTATGAGTCGGATCTGACTTGACAGCAGTGAGTTCGTTTTTTTTTTTTTTTTTGTCATGAAACAAAATGTGTACGAACTGCTGTGTGGAAAATGAATTTGCTCTGTAAACTTTCACCCAAATTACAATTTAAAAAAAAAAGTTATCAGAGCCTTTAGTATGGTGATGTGTGTTGTGACTCTCATTTCTCAATTTATGTGTACCCCTCTTTGGTGGTACACGCCCCAAGGTGGAGTTGGTTTAGGAAACACCAAACTACAAGCTAGAGGCATTCTGGGAAGTTAGCTGGGAGGGATGGATTGGGGATAAGGGTCTTTTAATGAATGTGGCCTGAGAGAAAAGCAGTCCTCTTGGAGCACATGTCAGGTTCACACTGTGCAGTCACAGAGCAGTGGTCACATGCCAAATGTCACCACTGCACTGTTCTCTAGAGTCCTGAGGAGGAGGAGACAGAGGAGGTGGCCGGAAGGGAACCATGTGGGGGTCAGTGCAGGAGCTGCCCTCGCTTTCCTAGGGGCTCAGCAGACATACCGTTGATGATGCGGGCCACTCGCCAGAGCCGGAGCAGGATCAACAGGCCAAGAGCTTCAAACTCATGCTCCCGGAAGAGGAGGACGATGTCGAGGACAAAGGAGACCACCACCACAATGGTGTCCAGGATTTCAAACTTGTGGTGAAAGAACTCCAGGCGGAAGACATATATCTTAAAGAAAATCTCCATCATGAAAAAGGTCAAGATGGCGATGCTCATGTAGTGGAACACCTGGAGGGACGAGGAGCTGCGGTCAGGGTGTGGTCACGTCCAGGGGGGCAGCTCACACACACAGGCTGACCTCAGAGCGACTGCCCGGGCCGCAGGAGAATTCCTTTGTTCAACAAATACTGAACCCTGGAGCCCCAGGCACTCCTCTCTGTGCTGGGATGCAGCTGCAAACACAACAGACACAGCCCCTGCTCTACTCAGAAGGGCATTTAGGTAGTATCTGTTGTTGTTATGTGCCGTGCAGTTGGACCCAACTCATAGCGATCCCTCCTTGGGTTTCCGAGGCGTTATCTCTATGGAAGTAGATTGCTCCATCTTCCTTCCGAGGAGTGGCTGGTGGGTTTGAACTGCCAGCCTCCTGGTTAGTAGTCAAGTGCCTTAGGCACTACGCTACCAGAGCTCCCGAGGCAGTATCTAGCAGCATCTAAAACATGCATACCCTTTGACCCAGAATTGCACTGCTAGGAATTTATCCTATAGCTAAGCTGACATGACAAAGACACGTAAGGATGTTTGCTGCAGCATCAGTTGTAGAACAAGAGTAGAAACCACCTGTCAGAAGGCCTTCTTCAGATGAATTAAGGTACCTCTATATGGAGCACTTCCAAGTGTTAGACCAAGTCAGACTCATTCACACCAATTATGAATGACCACTAGGGTAGATGGTGGTGAATGAGGTCCCAGATCTGGGGTTATAAATCCCACTAAACACTGCTGAAGTCCTCAACAAAGTAACCAAATCCAGTTCTAGGGCAGGAAAGTACAAAGAAGTCTGGGGGCATCTTCTAGAGCCAAAAGGCAAGGAAATGCTCTAAGACTTTTAGGGTCATGGTTAAAGGACAAAGCAATCAGCTCAATGAGGCTCACAATGACCAAATTTGGGACAATTTAAGCATCAAAATGACTTTCATCAACTGTAATACACTAAATTAAAAAAAAATCCTTGAGTCTGTAATGATACATGCATACACATACACACACATATATACATGTTCACACAGGCACACACATGCACACCCATACATGGACACAGAAAAAGGAAAGCTCTTTTTCATAGAAGAGTGGAAAGACAAGACTAGAAATGTATTCATTGATTCAAGGTAGGTTCACCAATGGAGGCTGGGAAGAGGATATTTGTACGGTACCAAAGGATCAGTGGGCAGACTATTACCCACTGCAAAGGGAAAGGTACCCTTGCACAGTGGGGCAGTCCAGCATTTACTACCTCAACCAGGTGATCCAACGCAGTGTGACTGACAGTGGGGCTCTGACATGGCAGACCTCCTGATGATGCAATATGAAGGGCACAGCCTCTCACGAGGAGGCCTGGGGGCTTCTCTGCTCTGCCATGCTGGGCATCTCCCTAACACAGCCCATTGTACTTGGTTCAGTGTGTTACAATGCTTCTAGATAGAAAGCGATGCGCACCTGTGTCCCGGTGTAGAGACAGAAAAGTATCTCCAAGCTAAAAGGCAGGTGGATTTTGACCAGGACAGCGTGTGTGTGTGCGCATACATGTGCATAATGCTCACGATCTGCCCCACTCTGTCCACCCGCAGTGCAGATAACAGAAGTGGACCAGACAGTTGCCAACACTCTACCTTGGCGGCATAGTTGTTCCTGTCGGGCTGGATGATCTTCAGATCCAGGATCAGTTCGGCAAGCACCAGGAGGGCGTCCAGAACGACCAGGCAAATGATGATAACCTGCGGCCAGGGAAGGAGGCAGAGACCGTGAGACTTAACGGGAAGCCTGCTTTCAGCTATAAGCACTGGCTTTGAACATTTGGTTCTAATTATCCAGTAAAGACGCCAAGCTTGGGAGGAGGCCACTACCAGTAATCCGAGCGCTCTACAGGGAGCCTGGGGGACCAGCTGCCTCTCTCACAGAGCAGCGCCCTCCTTCCCACAACCACCTGGGCCTGCTTCCCTCAGACAGGCTCTGCCTTCCCTGGAACATGTCTGCACTGCTCACTTACCAACCCCTCGGCCATTACTAGTCCTTTTCTTACCCGTTCATTGTTTCTCAAACAGCATCTCTCAAAACCCACTGCTAGGAGACATCAAGCTCAACTGGCATGATGTACTACACAAAACATTGTTCCACACTCTACTTTGGTGAGTAGTGACTGGGATCTTAAAAGCTTTCAAGCAGCCATCTACATGCAACGATGGGTCTCTCCTTGTCCAGACCAAAGAAGAATGAAGAAAACCAAAGACTCAGAAACAATTAGTCCAAGAGACTGGTTCACCATGTGATCCTCAGCCTATATGGCTATGAGAACAGAAAAACTAGATGGTGCCCGGCTACCACTGTCAACCACTGGGAGGGGGATCTATGTAAGAGATCCTGGATAGAGTGGGAGAACAATGTGGAACTAAACTCAAAATCATTTTTTTGAAAAAAGAAAAAGGTACTAGGTTTGCTGGTCTGATAGAGCCTGATGGAACCACTGAGATTATGGCCCCTAACTGCCCTTTAGATCTGGAATTGAACCAATCCTGTGGCTTCCAGCCAAACAAAAGACAGGTACATGAGGTGAACATTTACACTAGGTAGATACACTCCTTGGAGAGAACAATCATGGGAGAATAGAAGGGCTGCTTATGCACAGGGAGACAGCTCAGGGGGCAGGAGTGCATGGAGGGAAGGACACAGGGAAGAGGTAACTATGGGGAGGAAGTGAGAGGGGAGCTGTTGCACTGTGGGAAATTGTAGTCAATGTCATGAGACAAAGTGCATATGAGCTGCTGTATAGAAAGTGAATTTGCTCTGTAAACTTTCACCCAAATCACAAAAAAAAAAAAAAAAAAAAAAACCCACTGCTAATTCCTAGATGGCAATAGATCAGTAAATAGTAAATCTGTATTTCTTGCAAGGGTACGCACAGAAGAGATAATAAATAATTCGAAACATCCCAGCCTCAGGTAACTGAGCTCTGGAAGGGCTACTTTAAGCAATGGGTGATGGTGACTCACTGTACAGATAACACAGCTTCTGCCCAGAGATGTGAACACCCACCCCCTGACTTACATGTGCTCATTAGGGCGTCAAGGAGACTAAGCCCTGGGTTTCTTGGAGATTGAAAAGAGCTGCTATAGGCAGGACAATCTCCCGTGCAGTCTTATCCCACACATCTCCTTGGGCTGGGCATCCTACTGGAGAGAGGAGGAGGCTGGTAGGGTGCAGTGTGAGTGGCTCACGAGATGGTAGTTGGAGGAAGCAGTGGAAGCGATGATATGAGAGAGGCAGACGTGGCCACAGTGACGTAGGTGGTGATGGTGGTGGTGAGGCACCAATGGTGGTGTGGAGGTGACTCTGTTCAGAGAGACCATGCGGAATGACAGAGGTAGTGATGACGCTGGTGAGGTCACCAATGGTGGTGTGGAGGTGACTGCATTTGGGGAGGCCATGGGGAAGTGAAAGAGGTCATGATGGTGGTGGTGAGGGCACTAATGGTGGTATGGAGGTGACTGTGTTCAGGGAGACCATGGGGAATGACAGAGGTAGTGATGATGTTAGTAAGGGCGCTAATGGTGGTGTGGAGGTGACTGTGTTCAGGGAGACCATGGGGAATGACACAGGTAGTGATGATGTTGGTGAGGTCACCAATGGTGGTGTGGCGGGGACTGCATTTGGGGAGGCCATGGAGGTGATGGTGAGGGTACCAGTGGTGGCGTGGGGGTGACTGTGTTCAGGGAGGCTATGGGGACATGACAGAGGTAGTGAAGGTGCTGGTGAGGGCACTAACGGTGGCATGGAGGTGACTGCATTTGGGGAGATGACAGGGAGTTGGTTGTGGTGGTGGAAATGGTAGCAATGGAAGGGACCCTGAAAGACACTGGGTGTCCTCTCTTCCCTTGGACATTCTAGATCCTCACTTACTTCCCCCGGGGCCTAGCCTTTTACATACTCACATGAATGGATTTTGACCTCTGAAAATTAATCTGCCATTACTTGGTAATTTCTGCAGTTTCAGGTTTAAATTTAAAAGCCAGGCATGTGCCAGAACAGACTATTAGACCTTTTGACCACTTCAACTTTAGCTCTAACTATTGAAGTAATTAAAGTATTTGATGGTGCGGCTTCCTGTGTAAACTGCATGGTAAACTGCTTTGTAATGACCTTTTCACATACACTTATATTCAGTAGTTTAAAAGATTCAAGCCTCCAGTGTTTGTTTTCCTACCAAGGAGGGGTCGCTATGAGTCGGGTCTGACTCGACGGCATTTAACAACAACAACACCAACAACCAGGGTCAGGGAAGGGGGAAGGAGGAGTCCGTGCTGAAGGGGCACTGACTTTCTGCGTGAGGACAAAACATTTTTGGAGATTGTGGTAGTGGTTGCACAACGTGGTAATCGCAATGAATGGCACTGAACTGTACTCGTAAAAATGGTGAAAATGGCAAATTTTGTGTGTTTTACCACAATAAAATTTTTTTAAAAAAAATTGAGGCTCCTTTATCTTCATGAGTGGCACAGCGGTTAAAGCACTGTGCTGCAAACCGAAACATCAGCTATTCGAACCCACCAGCTGTTCTGTCGGAGAAAGATGAGGCAGTCTGCTTCTGTAAGGACTGACAGCCTTCAAAACCCTATGAGGCAGTTCTACTCTGGCCTCTCGGGTTGCTATGAGTCAGAATTGACTCGATGGCAGTGGATTTATCCTCATGACCACTGTCCTCTGGCCCAATTTTACCTGATCGGTCCATCTTCTTTCCCTTAGCTGAATTGTACCTGGGCAAGAAGTAACAGCACTCAGCAATATGTCAAGTGACCTTGGCCACATCACACGGTCACAACAGTGGGGACTGCAGAAGGGACTAGCAGAATGTGGTATGCTGGTTTTACCTACAGAGAATCACAAACCCTGAGCCCTTCTCCCCTGCTCCGATCTGGCCTCCCTGCTTCTACCCTGAGCCCCCACCCCAACCCAGAACCTTTGCTGGCCACCCACACCTCAGCACAGGTGACTGGACCTGCCCTCGCCTCTCCTGCCAAGCTCTCCCTCTGCCCCCAGACCCACCTTGGGTCCCTCTGCCTAGAAAATGCCACTGCTCACAGAGTTCACTTCTGCTCCTCCCTCAGGGGCCAGCTGAAATGTCACCTCCTCCGAGACCCGTTCTCCAACTCCCATCCAAAATCAGGTCTCCTCTCACCCCCAGATCTCCCAGAACCCCTTCTGTAATGCTTATCTCCATTTGTAATCCTACTTGGGTGAGGTTCCTTCTGCCCCAGGCCACAGGACTCATAAGGGTGGGAACTCTATCTGTCTCATTTGTGGCTATATCCCTAGCCACAATAATACAAAAAACTCAGCGCACTGCCACACTGCCGTCAAGTCAGATCTGACTCATAGCGACCCCTCCTTGGGTTTCCAAGGAGGTATCACTAAGGACGTAGATTGCCCAACCTTCCTTCAGAGGAGTGGCTGTAGGTTTCAACCGCCAGCCTTCTAGTTAGCAGTCAAGTGCTTAGGCGCTACGCCACCATGCTCCTCCGCCACAATAGTAGGCACTTATTAAACAATTGACAAGTGAATTAATAAACATCTCTACTTATGTGACAATAGTCAGTCTTCTCTTTTCTCAGTAGGAGGGTCAATGGTGGTCCCAAATCAAAGTGCCAGACCCCAGCAAGGCAATGGCCCTGTTTCCCAGCCAGGCAGGGAGAGACCCCCGGGGGGTAGTCCAGGGCTCCCTTGCAGCTGGAAGGAAGCTGGCTCTTTCCTTCTCCTGAAATTGAGGGTTTGGGATTTCAGTCCCAACAGCTTAATACTACGTTTCCCTTCCTGTCACAGCCGCAGAGGGAGCGAGCTGATGTGCAGGGAGGGCTGGGCTGTTGCCTTGTTTCAGTGCTTTAAGCCACACGAGGGGGAAAGAAAAAAACCAAATTCTTCTTCTTTTTTTTTTCCCCCTGTTTTACCATGGAACAAAGTCAGCGATGGAAGAGGCAAGAGCCACTTCTCTCAGCTTCCAGATGGGACCTCCATTGGCAATGGGAGGAAACGGTTTACTCTGGTTTAGGTGGAGGCTGACAGGCACGTCCCCAAGACGACTCCATTCTAGAACTGGACTGACAGGAGCTTCTCAGTTCCTTAAGGTCACCAGGCCTCCCACATTCTCGGGCACTCAAAACATGCTCAGAGCTGGGGGGCAAAGGGTGATTCAGTGAGGGCTGGCCAGACTCAACCTTCATCTGCTCTTCAAACTCTGAGGATGTTGGGATAGACACTGAATCCCATATAAAGTTCAAGGATCTTTGCTATCTGAAGCCCAAACTCCTCTCTCATTCTCCCCATAACCACACCTGGAGGCCAGGAGTGGGTTAAAGCTGGTGGACATTTCTGGCATCACTTCACAAATGCAGACGTTGAAGCCCATGGTGATGAGTCTGTGAGGGATAGGACTCTGCTGGTCTTGTTCAACTCAGAACACTCAATGTTTGCTGAATGAATAAGTGTTTTTTCCCCTAGCTCTGATGTTTACCCTGATTTTTCTTTTTATTGTGGTAGGATGTTGTTGTTGTTGTTATGTGCCGTCAAGTCGGACCCGACTCATAGTGACCCCTCCTTGGGTTTCCAAGGCGGTATAATTACAGAAGTAGATTGCCCAACCTTCCTTCTGAGGAGTGGCTGGTGGGTTTGAACCGTAAGCCTTCTGGTTAGCAGTCAAGTGCCTTAGCCACTATGCTACCAGAGCTCCCTGTGGTAGGATACACATAAAATGTACCATTTCAAAGTGTAAATTCAGTGGCATTAAGTGCATTCATCACGTTATACAACCATTACCATTATCTAGTTCCAAAAAACATTACTACAGATGGAAACTCTACACCCACTAGTAGCAGTCATTCCCCCACACCCCCTCTCTCCAGCCCCTGGCAACCAGTAATCAGTTTTCTGTCTTGATGGATTTGCCTGTCCCCGACACTTCATATGAATGGAATCCTACGGTATGTGCCCTGTTGTGACTGGCTTTTCTCACTCGGCAGGATAGTTTTGAGTTTATCCACATTGTGGCATGTTTCAGGACTTCATGTCTCTTTACAGCTGAGTAACATTCCATTGAATGTATGCCCCACATTTTGTTTAGCCATTTGTCCGCTGATGGGCCTTTAATGCATTTTTGATCATGATGTGCTCCGCCCCAGACACTGTGGGTTCTGCCCACTGTGCACCCAGTGCTGTGTGGGTGCTTGGCACGTGGATGGCAGAGAGGGCCCCACCCTGGCCCCGTGACCCCGGCTGAGAACTCTTCCCCTACTCCCCTCACCGCCCCCCGTCCAGGCACCTAGGGCTTCCGTCCCACCTACCTGAAACCTGTGGGCGCTGAAGAGCTTCCGCAACGTGGCCCTGAAGTCCAGGGGGCGCCTGGGCGCGGGGTCGGGGCCAGCCGTTGGGTCAGCAGCTTGGCCCTCTTCGCCGGAAGCCGGCGTCGGCGCAGGCTCCTCTTCTTCCTCCTCATTCTCCCACTTCCGGTAGTTGATGTTCCAGGCGTGGTAGTCGTCCCCAACGACCGTGAAGTGCCTCAGGAACTTGCTCATCCTCTCGGCGGGAGCCACCTTGGCCCTGCGAGTGACTGCCTGCGGAGGGAGGACAGAGAGCTTCAGTCTGGGTGGACCTCAGAGCCCGTCTGGACCACTCGGAGCCCACAAGGCTCTGACGGGGCAGTAGGCCCAGGCTGGGCCAGCCGCATGGGGTAAAGATGGTCCCAGTACGTGCAGAGCACCGTGTGAGCTCAGAGACCGTGAGGTCACGGTGGTTTCTGCTACTTTTATTTTTGGAATCCAGGGTCTCAGTGTCAGTGAAGCAACAGGAAACCCCAGAGCCATCAGGCCTGTGTCTGTGGTCTGCCTGGCAGTAACCAATGGAATGGGTTCTGCAGCTCATTGCAAAATGAACCCCCCAAAGCCCATGTGTGACTGCCGGAAGAGCTGGGCCTCATGGTTCAGAGATATCACAGCCGGAAAAACCGGAGGTGAGAGTTGGCCAGGTGGGAGTAGGGGGTGTGGACACGGGGGAGGGGAAAGCCAAAAGTAAAAGTACTCAGACTTTCACAGAAGCCCGATGAGACCCCATTCGTGCCACAGATCAGTTCTTGAAAAGTGAGTGGCAAATGGGTTTGTTAAAGTTCAGTCGGTGTTGTTTTAAATGCACTCGGACAGCTGTTTAAATAGAGAAGACGACAAAGCAAAAAGCAAATAATTACCCCCTTGCCCAGTTTACCCTACCTACATTAAAGTTTTTATAGAGTTGAAAAATTAAAACTTCTGGTATGGGATGGCTTATGGATCTGATAGAGACTGGTGAAAGCCCTGAGACTATGGCCTGGAGTCATCCTTAGGGCCTGGAATTGAACTTCCATGACTTCCAGCCAAACAACAGACAGACATATAAGGTGAACATTTATACCCGGAAGGTACACTCCTTAGAAAAATCAACCATGGGAGATCAGAAGGGCAGCATTTGTGCAGGGAGAAAGCTCAGAGGGCAGGCATGCTTAGGAAAGAAGGGCACAGGGAAAAGGTAACCAAAGGGAGGAAGTGGGAAGACAGCTGATATATTACAGGATTGCAATCAATGTCATGAAACGAAATATGTATGAACTATTGTATGGCAAATGGATTTGGTCTGTAAGTTTTCACTGAAATCACAATTTAAAAATAAGAAAAGTGTCAAGTTCCTCAAAATGATAATAAAGACAGAGCCTAATAGAAAATGGGCAAGGAATGCAGACCATTCAGAAAAGAAAAAAACAAAACAAAACAAAAAAACACCAACTTCCAGTATGAGTGTAAGACCCATATATACTTCCGGTATGGGTATGAGAAGGAGCTCTGGTGGCATAGTGCCTAAGGCATTCGACTACTAACCAGAAGGCTGGTGGTTCAAACCCACCAGCCACTCCTTGAAAGGAAGATTGGGTAATCTGCTTCCACAGAGATACCACCTTGGAAACCCAAGGAGGGGTTGCTATGAGTCAGGATCGACTCAACAGCAGTGAGTTTAGGTTTTTGTTGGGTTTATTAGCATAAGAATAGGTAAAATATTCGTACCTATTCAACAGCCAAAAGATAGAAGCATCCTAGGTGCCCATCAGCAGAAGAACGGATAAGCAAACTATGGCACATACACACAATAGTGTGCAACACTAAAGAACAACGTAGAATGTCAAACAGTGTGTAACACGGATGAACTTGGAAGACATTATGCTGAGAGAAATAAGTCAGTCACAGAAGGACCAGTACAGTTTAGTTGACTGGTGTAAAAAGTCAAGAAAAGGTTTCTATATGGAAGGACACTCTCTTTGTTGGTTACCAGGGGTGGGAGGGGAAGGAACACTGCA